GTGGGCGGGTACAGCTGGCTCTGCCTCTAGATAGCTGTCACTCATGCAGCTTGGTGGATCTTGACAGTAATGTCGGGATCCGTCCCGGCTGCGGCGGTCTCAGTATACCGCGAGCTGTAGCTCGCGATATACTGAGCTTTGGGTCACGGGAGGACGCTAGTATATGTCCTCCCGTAACCCTTAAGAGAACTATGGGGAAAAACACTTACCCCATAGTTCTCTTTTAAAAACATTTTGAGCACACACACACTTCAAGATTACTCTACATGTTAAAATATTATTGTACTAAATGTAGTGCAAGGGCTTGTCTGGATTCAGGAGTTTTCATTTGTATAACCTGTGAACCCCCTGTTGCTTGAAGTAGCTGCATAAGTCTTTATAGTAAGTAGTGACCTCACCATGACATCATAATGTAGGATAGGTATGTCATGTTTGGGAGGGAAAGAATTGATTTGTATTTTCTGTGTTGGTAGTGGTGGGAGCTACATCTCCACCATAGATCCATTTCTACAGAAGTCTGTTTCTTTAACCACACAAGACCCAGGGGAGGCCCAGAAAGTCAAACAGAGTGAGATTCTGAGGACATAAAGGATATTGTACGGTGATACCATACATTTCTTTAAAGCATTTACCCTAGGTGATACAGCATTTGTGTCATGTGCCCTCTAGTTGATTATAATTAGGTGAACTTCCTTTATCAGGTACCACCAAAAACATGGCTAAGAGGTGAACTCAGCCTGTTGCAGCTTTGTTGGGAGATGCATCATGTCTCCAGTGGGTGCGTCCATTGTAATGTTCAAAAAGAGATGATGGAAGGTTGAACCCTGCACTACTACCCACAGAATGGAAGGACCTTTAAAACTGGTATATTACTGTCTCTATAAAATTATACAGTTCACAAATACCTTATAGTATTAATGAGTAATCATTGATGGAAAGATTAAGAAAAGGTCTCTGCCACTTGGAACTTAGTCTTAAAATATGTATAAGAATGTGTTCCTTGGCAACGTATTATTCCATATTGAATTGTTTATGGAAATATAGCAATATCTTATTACATTGCTGCAAGTTAGCTTATGCTGTGAAAAGAAACCTAAACCTGATTAGTATGACCTCAGCCTAAAGCAAGAGTTGTAAATTTTCCTGATGAATCGACTTTCAGAAAACCACTAAAAAAGTATCTCCAAATGCCTTTTGGATTCATAACTGAGCACTGCAAATGTTGCTATTTCACTTAACCTAATCAAGTTCATTTGAGGATACATATACTGTACAGACATTTATCTACCCACCTGTTTGACAGCCACACATCTATACAAATGTATATATAATATTTATATATAATATATATATAAAGAATTTCAGGCTTAATATTTCACACACCTATGGTTTTTATCAGATATTTAGATAGAACTGTTGTTTCTCACACACCTTGAACGTGTTTTGCCTATCTTTTATAAGGATCAATATTTTTGGGCATTTCTGCATTTATTAAAGTTGGTTTATGACTTCATAAAAAGTTGGAACTCAATTGTTGTCAAAAGCTATCTGCAGCGAGGGACAATGCCACAGGGCAATTCCACTCTGTGCAGGAGATTATGGGAAATTATGCTAGCAATATTTTTCAAAGTGCTTGTTTATGTTTGCCGAGGAGTTATTTAAATATGCTTGCCATATTTCCATTTGCAGTTTTGTGATATACAGCTTACTGCCTATTTTAATATATGCACGTTTCATATTGTGGTATATGAGAAGCTTATATTTTTGTAAGCTGGCTATGACAAGAACAGCACATTATAAGTCTCGGGACTAGATCCAGCGCTCAGGAGAAAGATTGACACCGCTCCTCTATGGCTGCAGAGTAACGGAGAGATAAGCTCATCAGTGTGCTGATCCTCCTTCACTGTCCAGCCACTGTCTGGGGAAGGGAACAATACTTTAAATATTAACAGCAAAGAAAAAACGGGTCTTCTGCCAGATTGTGGGGCAGAACATTACAAGTCTCAGGACTAGATCCAGTGCTCAGGAGAAAGATTGACACCGCTCCTCCATGGCTGCAGAGTGACGGAGAGATAAGCTCATCAGTGTGCTGATCCTCCTTCACTATCCAGCCACTGTCTGGGGGAGGGAACAGTACTTTAAATATTAACAGCAAAGAAAAAACGGGTCTTCTGCCAGATTGTGGGGCAGAACATTACAAGTCTCAGGACTAGATCCAGTGCTCAGGAGAAAGATTGACACCGCTCCTCCATGGCTGCAGAGTGACAGAGAGATAAGCTCATCAGTGTGCTTGATCCTCCACTGTCCAGCCACTGTCTGGGGAGGGAACAGTACTTTAAATATTAACAGCAAAGAAAAAACGGGTCTTCTGCCAGACTGTGGGGCAGAACATTACAAGTCTCAGGACTAGGTCCAGCGCTCAGGAGAAAGATTTGACACCGCTCCTCCATGGCTGCATGGGGAAAACCATGAACATCTGCCCACCAGCTAGAGCATGTCAACAATCACTGTTATCAGAATGAAAGAAAAGGAATGCGGCCGCACTCCGTATCTCAATTGCTGATAATTTATTGTAGTAAGTACAGATCACACAGTAGCATGTAGGGTGACATGTTTCACCCTATGCGCGCTTAGTCATAGAAATTAGGGGGGGGGGGCTGGGCTGCACACATACCAACAAGTTCAGGTGCACTTAATTAAACTGTTACAGGACAGAACTCGATTAACCATATAAACAAACAGAATGAGCATCTATCCTATACAACAGCCAAGTTGTTGTATAGGATGCACACTCATTTTGTTTGTTTATGAGTGTGGCCCGATTCCTTTTCTTTCATCCTCAGGACTGGATTAACAGAAATACAAATCGTTTGGCAGGTGAAACAGCTCCCATTTATGCATTTCACATGTGTAGGCATCTGCTGGCTGAAGTTTTAACATGTAATTTCATAACTTTTCTGAAAAGACAACATTGATCTGATTACACAATGATTTAAAGGGCTTTAAAATGGAGCAACATTTACTGTTGCTACTTTGTATTTAGAAACTAGAAAAACATTTTAGTGTAACTCTGAAGTATACAGCATTTGTGAATGTTTGGGTCATGAAGAAGTTGGTTGCCCTCATGTTACTTTAACATTGCAGCTTAACAACACACTAGCCAAGAGGGCTCTTTGACCCTTTTGTCTCATTTTCGCACTTCACATATCAGTACTTTTGACAAGGTTTTCCTTGAATTGTTCCTGGAGCAAAAATTTGTCATATCTCTGCAGTAAATGGAACCTGTATAAATTGTGTATGTGGAGCGGGTACATTAGGGGCCATTTAGTGTCAATAACTCCTAAGCTGAATAGCTTGACTCTGTTAAGCATTGTAATATTTCAGTGCAGCTTTGAATGTTCATGATGTTGGCCAGATTTATATTTTGTATGTGTGTCCATTTGGGTCAGATTCAACTAGAGCAGCAGCATGGTATCGTACAAATACCTCCAGGAAAGCTCTTGCACCTGGATCAGGGAATTGTTGTACTGTACATCCATATTTTATGTCCTGCTAAAATGTCTTGTGGTAAAATAGCCATTAAAATATAATTTATATATATATATATAATATATTTTTTTCCCTTTAACCATTCAGGGTAAATTTTTCAGAACCAATCTTGTAGTTTATGTAATTTACGGATAATCGTACTTCTCTAGAACTACCTGGTAAGGAGAGGAGGAGAAAAGTGTTCTGTAGTCCTAATATACAGTACTGTGAGTAAGCGTCATCACCCTAGGACAGGAAGGACTAGCAGGACCACCAAATGAAAATCAAGGAAGAAAAGCCTGAAATAAAGAAGACTCTTGCTGTTTTCTTTTGTGCAAGTTTTGTGAAATGATCAAAATTGTTATCTCGTTATGAATAAAGTAGACTGTAGTTATTGACTTGTGTGCGGTTGCTCTTCTTGGCTGATTTTATTAGTCTTCAGCAAATAGAACAAACCTAGAAAATCATATTAAATTTGGTCTTGTCAGCTGTCTGTGTAATCAGTGTGTATCTACTAAAAGACAGTGAAAGAATTGGAAGATGTTAAAGTGCTAATTAAAAATAAAGGCAAACACTAGTCAGATATTATCTAATGTGCACTGATTTGTGGCCATTTGGTACATGAACTAGCACTTAAATGACTATACTTTTTTTTTGTGTTGGATCTAACCCAAGGTGCTATACTCAGAATTATATCAAATTGACTATATTAAAAACAAACAAAACACTATTATTGTAAAATAAAGGAGGGTATAGTAAAAAGATGAAAAGAAAGGCACAATGTAGCACCTGGCTTTTACTGTCTGTATGTTGAACTGGTTACAAGTATGTAGGATCAAGGTGTAAGTTTTTCCAATTCCTCTGGCTGCCTACTTGTTTCAGGTCATTCGTTAGTTGATGACAGCCTGGAGCCTGCAAAACGGGTCAGTAATGACAGCTGCCTTGTGTCTGTTCTGTGTCTGTTCTAACAGGATCACTTAATCGATTAGGGCTAAGCTCTGTATTCAACCTATGCACACTCTTGCCTAAATAGTTCAGTCGGTAATGGACAAAGCCACACCTATATTCTTGTAAGGTCCCTCCTTGGAAGAATCTGAATATAGGAATAGTTTGGTTTACAGATAAATGAAAATAGTGCTTACTAAAGGTTCTGCAGGTGGCTAGAGGATCATGCATTTACCAAATGCTTGTGAAAATCATGATTAAATGTAAGTGTGTCTTTTCCTGTCTGCTTTATGTTGCTTGTAGTTAATGTTGTTGTCATAAACTTGATAAGAAGGCTTCCATAAAATTTTTGGTTTAAAATCTAGGCATAATAAACTCTGTCAAAGAGTAAAAGTACATTATGGCCTAGTGTCCTTTCTTTCAATGGTTTTATTGTTGTGCAGATGACACTTATTGAAAGTTTTTTTTAAGTCTCTCCATTGGTTGTTTTTCTTTTTTTATATATGAATCTTTATTTGTAATTACAGTGTTCATGCAGTAGTGACATGGTAAAAATATCAATGGATATCTTCGTGAAGATGTTTCAGCCAGACCGGTATGACATCTGGAAACAAGGGAAGGACATCTACACTCTTGACCACACAAAGCCTACAATGGATACTAATCCATTACTAAGGACCTGGATGAATAAAAGGAGAAGGAAAATAAAGAATGCTTTGAAAGGGTACGTTTTGGTTTAATCATGCATTATTTTATTATTCTACCAACACATGCTCTATTTAAAGTAGATCACCCTGGGCAAACAAATGTATTAACCCTTGCAGTGGGGCTACCCCCTCACTACAATGGTTAAGTGCTCATTTTGTCTAAGGTCAAAAATAACAAAGTTTTACTCACCCGATACTCCGAGCTGGCTGGCTCTTAGACTGGTCCCTGGAGCGTCTCCCCCTTCCACTGCAGCGGTCTAGAGTCATCACATTTTATACACTGTATAGGACGTAAGGACGCCAGGGAACATACCATTGCTGCAGCAGTGGAGGGAGTGCTGTGACAGCCAGCTCGAAGGATCGGGTGAGTATAACCTTATTTTTTTAACGTTTAGTATCCAAAGGTCCTCTGGCGATTAGCAGTAGTTTCCCACTCCCTTCTGTGTTGATACGCTTCAGGGGTGCTGCTCCTCAGTAGATCGGAAAGCTCTCACTATTGCAAAGAAAACAAAAACAGAAGAGCGCCCAAACCCTGTGCGTTATCAACAAATTGAAATGATTAAAAACAGTGTCCGACTACTCACAATTGTAGTAGTGTACAGGCTTAGTACTTTCTCCACAAACGATGGTGTTATAAGCAATCTAGATCTGAGGAACGTGGCTTGCCCTTGAAACGCATCATCCGTTGCAGCCTCGCTGGTGTTGTTTGTCCCACTGACTGGGGTCTGTGTGTGTTCGCTTGGATTGCTTATAACACCATCGTTTGTGGAGAATGTACTAAGCCTGTACAATACTACAATTGTGAGTAGTCTGACACTGTTTTTAATCATTTCAATACATTTGTTGATACCACACACAGTTTGGGCGCTCTTCTGTTTTTATTTTCTTTGCTATTTTTTTTTTTTTTACCAAAGACAAAAACGAGCACTTAACCCTTGCAGTGCAGGGTAGCCCCACTGCAAGGGTTAATATTTTTTGCCTGGAGTTCTTCTTTAAGATGTAATTTCATTAGGCAGTGGGCAATATACACAACACAGCAATTCAAAGCAATCAATTAGTAGTCTTGTTTTGTTGTGGCTTTTCTAGTGAGAACAACTTTGCTTACAATGGCATACTGCACTTTGCACATCATCATAGCTCTTTGAACTGTCATTATATTGTAGGTTTTATATTCTTTCTTACAGCATACAAAACACTAAACGGACACAAACTTTATGCATTTTCTTTCTTTAAAACAACTGTAACATTTTGCCAGAACCTATGACTTGACCAATCTCCAGGACCTATGACCTGACCTATCACCAGGATGTTGCTCATTTAAGCATACTTGATCATGTTTGGTCAGACACCAATTTTAGCTTTGAATACTGAAAAATGGCCTGGATGGGAAGGGGGTTTAACACCGCGGATGTCAACTGGTTAAATAAGTTTTGACCTTCCAGATGATTATTTGATCAACTTCCCTATGTTTTGTATATTGCACACAAGTTTTTTTCTCTGCTGCTGAGAAATTCTACTTACTTACAATGTTTCTAATATTAAATTAAAGACTGTTTAAGTCTTTCATTGAGTGACAGGAAGGTTGTGATCCAATTTTCTTTGGTAATACTCATGTTCACCTTTGTCACAGCAAAGTCCCAAAGGTTATGTATCCTAACCTTTTGAGAAGTTGAAGAACTTTGATAGAGGATTCGCAAGTTGCAGAATCACCCTCTGATCTGTAACATAATAAATTCTAAACACTATCAGCACACAAAAAAATGACATTTTTGTGCTAGTTTATTAAGGTGAAAGGTATTTATATTGGAAGCTGTTTTATCTTATCCAAACCAGACATTCTAATCTGACAGAAGTATCTTCCATTACAGCCTTCAGCGTACCACATCTCGTTCTAAGAGGCTTAAAACTCGGGAGGACAAGGAAGTATCAACCATGGTAGTCGGGGCAGAAATCGTAGCTACTGAAGCTGCTACAGATGGTTTCAAGGTCAATGAAAAACCCACAGAAAATGCAGAGCAAATAAACAAAGAGGAGCCTTTGGGGGATGTGAAGAACATTAGAGAAGTGCATCTAGATCACAGCTTATTGAATAATATCCAAGCCTCAGGTGAGATAAGGACTGATTAACTTTCTCTGATAAGTCATAGGTTCTTGAAGGTATGGTGTCATACATCGCTGCTGTGTAGCAATGCTTAAAATACAGTGAATTGTTGGCTTTGCTTGTAAAATTGTGTTAAATGCAGCCTGTGAGCCTGATATGCAAAATAATTTTTTCTTCATGACAGTATGCCACATATTGTCCTCTGTGATTCTTTATTCACTTCAGTCATCTTTTACAGTAAGGTACCGACAATATGTCTTCAACGTTTAAAGACTTTGAGGAGGTTTGAAGATTCAGTATTCTACAGAGGATAAGTTGTGGTAAAAAGTGATATTTTTATTTAGAGATTGTCAATCTAGTTGTAACCCAAGGTTTTACTGTTAGGTGTACAGGCAGCAATTAGACCATGGAAAGAGACAAAGGCTTACATTGCAGTTATTGATATCTATGTATTAAGCCACATATGAGCACATGCCCATTTTTGAGGGTCTGAAAGTGGGCCTAAAGCCTCATTCAGACGTGGGGACGCTTCCACCACCCTCTGAAAATCGATCCTCAGAGGATCGCTTTCTGAATGGCATTCAGGAGGTGATGCTGCTGCCACCTGAATGCAGTTTTTTCATCATTCATGGGGATTTTCTATTGCGATGCCACACCGTATCCACGGGGGGAAAGATTTTATTTTTTGGAACCAAAACCTTCTGATGTCCTTCTTTCAGTATTGTACTGTATTGTTTAACTGCCAAAAGTGTCCACATTGCAAAAACAGCTTATCAGGAACTCAGTGAGGGAACTCTGATGTAAAGAGGGCTCTGTGATGTCAGGGTGGGGGGCTTCTGATGTGAAGGATGGCTTATGGGAGGGACTTTGATGTAAAAGGAGGGGCTCCTAATGTGAGTGGGGGTGCTCATGTATAAGGAGGGGGGACTCCTGATGTTAAGCGTGGCTCCTGATTTTAAGGGGGACTTTTATGTGAAAGAGGGGTTCCCCCAATCTATACTAGACCACTATCAGAATTTTAGTGGGGTCATCTGTAATTTGTTTACACTTTTTCTTTATATTTTAAACTGGGGTGTCTTGAGATTTTATGTACTTTTAAAAGGTGCCATGACTGGACAAAATATTGATAATGCTAATCTACAATGTAGTATATGGTTAAATGTTGGGGGAAAAGCACCAGTAAGCTTAACTGATATTTTATTGCACTTTATTTGCTTCATGGTCCTTGTCATGGACATTGCTAGAGTCCTAAAAAGACCGGGGGCACCCCCGAGGACCTATATTGATATATTGTGAAGCTATCAAAATAACAAAAAGCAGATGAGGCCGTTCCTTGTTCCCTTTGTCTCCCCTCTACTATATTTAAACCTTAACACAGACCTTCTCTTATTTGCTCTGTTTTAGCCCTCGTTCACACCTGAACGTTTTGTAGCGCGTTCTACGCTCGACGAACGCTCTACAAAACGCTCAAACATCTAAATCCCATTGTATTCAATGGGTCTGGTTCACACCTTGGCGTATTTCAGCCCGTCCCTAACGCGCTACAAAACGGCCCACGCCTGAAAAGGTACATGTACTACTTTGGGCCGTTTTTGTTGCGCGTTTCCGTTGGGATACAGCCAAGTAGCCCTCGGAAACGCACGTATGTCGCGCAATTTTTTAACCGCAAATTGCGGTAAAAAAACGCGCGGCAACCGCGCATATGCAATACGCCTAGGTGTTAACCAGGGCTAAATCTCCGTTTGAAAGCATTTTGTTTGCAAGTAGTGCAAAAAAAATACTTGTTGAACTGTACACACGTTCTGTGTTGTATCAGTTTTTATCATGGACTACAAAACAATTTTCCCTTATGTTGTATAGATGTAAAAAGTGGGAGCAATGCATTAGTTATTGATTTATTAGCAAAATACCAACTGCTCAAAGCTGCCATAATTGCTTGCAAATTCAGTCCAGAAAAAGACACAGTCCACAACAGGAAATTAGGAGCGGAGTGCATTTCTGGCAGAGCAATATGTATTATTCTGTACTTGCAGGGTCTGTATAGAGACAAAAATATGGGAAAATGTGCACGTATTGCAGAGACGCACACTTTTAAGTTGTTTTCCCTTTTCTGCTATAATCTCATAATCACGTGGCTTTAATGAACCAAAACCACCTTAATTTCTCCTACTCCATCAACTCCAATGAATTTTGCCACAAAACACGAGACTGTCAAGAAGTTCTCAAATGTTTTGGTACAGAAAAAAACCTCAGTTTTATTCATCCACATCTAAGAGTAAAATATTATTTTTCCTGGAAAAAAATGTTTTTTGTCACAACTGTGATTTTCATAAATTTGATGACATGGCTAAAATTAAAAATCACTTGTGTATTGTCATTGCTTAAAAAGGAAATATAAACATATTAATTTAAAAGTAGTAAAAGTCAGACTGAAGGTGCCCACACACCTTGCGATAATCGTACGATAATCATGGGAAATCCTGCGATCGTACGATTATCGTAAGGTGTGTGGAAGGCGTGCGCCCTCTGCTACTGTATGGTCCCACGACTTTTATCTTGGGAACATGTTCGAAAACCCGCCTAACATCGTACGATTTTCGGCTGGTTTGTGGCATGTTCGCAAGATAAAAGCCGCACGGGTTGGTGTGCGCAAGCGCACTGCCCATTCAGCATTGCGGTCATTGGAAGCCCGCCCCTCAGCGGGGCGTGCTTGCGATCATCGCAATTACGATCTGCCTGTCCAAGATAGCCAGATCGTACGTTTTTTAAATTACCTTATAACCATCGCAAGACAAAAGTCTTGCGAGTGTTGTAAGGTGTCTGCCCAGCATTAGACTGCTCCAGGACATGCGTCCTGGGATTGCCCACATCTGAACCTAGCCTTAAGAAACTGAAGTGTAAGACTTTGAACACCTTTTTGTTTTGATGCACCCGGAATGTATTTCGCCGATTTGAACCTGGGTTTTAAGTGGAAAAAAAAACCTAGTAATTATTTACAAAATGCCAGTTTCTTTCTTGTTCATTGAGGGACGCAGGGTTTAGAGACATTTGGATTATTTTTCTACATACAGGAGGATTTGTACACTGGAAAACAAATAAAACAGTGACCGGGCTGCTATAGCCCCTGCTACCTCCTAGCATGCCTTTAGGATTCGCTAGTGTCCTAGAAAGATGACCATCTTTTCTCTACTGAGAAAAAAACATTTTACTAGCCATGTTTGTTCCTTTTCTTAAAATAATTTTTCTTCAATCGAGATTTTGCTACCTGCTTCTTGATCTAGTCTTTCTTGCATCTATCAGGATTGGCACATCCTCAGCAGTAGCTCATACAAACACCTCTTCCCACACCCCACTGGAATGGAGGATTGCAGGGCCTGCCTGGAATGTGACTTTCGGGCACTGGAAACCAAATGGTGCTTCAGACCTTTGTGTACTGTGTTTAGTTACCCATGGAGTGCTTTCCAGGTCCAGAGCCATGGCACCGCCTCTGGTGTGACCCTGTCCCTGAAGTACTCATTTATGAATAAGCCATGCGGGCAGATCATGAGGCAAGCGTTCCATTCACACTGATCCCCTATTCCTAGAGTGCTAAGAGCTTATGCTGGCTGCCCTATGCTACTGCTTAGATGTGTTAGTGTAGGACTCTCGTCTTATTTTCCAAATTAGTCTGCTGTCATTGAACATGCGGAGAGCACTCAAGTTGAAATGTTGGTCTGCAGAGCAGACATGTAAAAAGTGTCTAATGTGCATGGTATTTGAGGGCCAACAGTTCTTCTGAGCTGCTTTGGTCAACCTAATCAAGGTTTTTTTTGGGGGGTAAGAGTACTCGTATACCACAGAAAAAGAAGCCTAGCCCTTAAACCGTAAAGGCTGCTCTCTTAGGCCAAGAAGAGTTCCTTTGCTACTTCACGGCTTCAACCTTGAATACCAAAGCTTTTCAGGCGCCCAGTTTAGCGGCAAACTCTGGGCTTCTAAGTGCCCACAAACCTAGGAAATCCACTTCACCTAAGGTCTACTACTGCACATGGAAGAGTTATTTTGCTTGGTTCGGGGAGAAAAACTTTCATTCCAGAAAATATTTTGTGGGGCATATCCTGACCTTTTTATAATTAGGTCTGGACCAGCAATTGGCCATGAGAACCAGCAAGAGTCATAGCTCAGTGTTTTCCATATTGTTTCAGAGAACGATGGCCTCCTATTCTGTAATGAAGACTTGCGCATCACGCATCTGAACTGGTGGCCTTTTCTTTTAAAGAACCTTTTCTGGTCTCATGTAGCGACAAGATAGTGTTGAGGCCTAAAACTTTCTTCCTTTATAAGGTGGTTTCACCTTTTCATCTTAACCACGACATTGTTCTCCCATGTGTCTGTCTGGTTCCAGTACATCAGAAGGAGCTGTACGTTCATTGTTTGGAAGTTCATGCTATACTCTTTAAGACAAACTCTCTTTATCATTCAAGATGGCAAAAGAGGAACCAGCTTCTTGCTCCACCATTTCTCATGGCACAAACAGATTATTGTTCCCGCCTATGTTCTTAAGGATCGGGTTGCACCCTTTCCTGTTTAGGCACACTGCTAAATTGGTGCTTATTCTGCTTTCGGCTTTTCAGCATGAGGCAACTGTTTCCCAGATTTGCAATTACCTGGTCTTCTGTTCACAAGTTCTATAAGGTGGATGCCAGCTTTGGGCATAATGTCCTTTTAGGCAGCTCTTTTATCTGTAGTCAGTCCCAAGTTGTCTGTTGTTTTTTTTTTTAAGTGGGCTTGTTAGCATTTTGTTTGCTGTGTTGCTCACACTTCAGTTGGACAGCTCTCTCCTGCTGACCTTTTCCCCATTACTCACTTACCATACCTTGGTTTGCACTGTGTCTCTGTGTGGAGGTGGCTATTTTGGTAGAAGCAGTGCTTTGCTTCCTCAAGCAGAGACTCCAGAAAGGAGAACAGTAAGCAGAGCAAAGTAGGGACATCACCAAATCTCACTTGAAATCTCTTGAGACCAGCTTTCAGAGGCAACAGTGCCTCACACTGTGATCTCACACTGCTGATATACAGCTATGAGGCTGTAGGTGCCAAGACACCCTCACATGCCAGGAAGTGCACTGCTATTTTTCCAGAGGCATTCAAGACAATCAGGGTTATTCACAAAAGGATGAAGAGTTTGGAGAAGGCAGGAGAAGTGAACAATCTAGGACAACACTGTCCAATACTTTGGCCCTGGGAACTAATAGTATATTTTATTTGAAATTGTTAACATGAAAGTAGGTAGCAGGGATTAAGAGAATACCGTTTCAGGGTGACTGTTTTTTTTTTTGTTTGTTTTTTTTTAAAACTTTTGTTAGCAGGTACTTATAAAAGATATGCTGAGATTGCTTCTGTTCCTAGGTAAAAGTAGTATGTTATAAAATGCAAAACTCTATATTTAATTATTGAATTAATGATATTAATCTCCAAGTATGAATGGATAAGCTGCTGTGAATGGTGTATATACTGTGACACTATGCAATCAGCCTTGTGCCTTTGATTTGTAATTAGCCTATCTTGCTTATAGGTTCACCTCCTGCTATTCCTTTGGAACAAGATATGAAGCCAGAAGACGAGGGTAATCATGACCTCAGTTTGGCTGCTTCAGGCCTTACAGAACTATGCACCTTTTTTGCCCCATCTGCTGATTTAAAGATAGAAGATGGCACAAATTCAGTAGAGGAAATGGACCAAAAACCACCTGTGCAAGAAATCCAAACATGTGAAGCTTCTGAAGCTGATCGCATCGAAAAGGAGGAGACGAGCAGCATCACCAGTGATGAAGAGGATGATGCCAGTGACCTTGAGATAGCTGAATGTGGCCTGGAACCTGGAGAAGTTGCTTCCATGTTAAATGATGGGAAACGGGGCTCCGAAAAGCCTAATCTATGTGTAAGAACCAATAATTCCCTTGTATTTATTCTCGATCTTATTGAGCAGCCTTTAGCCAATCTTAAGCAGTATAAACGCTAGTCTCATTAATTTTTTAGCAATGGTATTATACTTGCTCATTTACTGAAACGGACAGAGCATTAATCACTTTAAACCAAGATGGATTTGATTGTACAGCCCTGACAGCCAGGCTGCTGTACTTGTAAAATTAACAGCTATCAGCATAAATCATAGGGCTACAGTGAGCATCATGTATGACAGCTTAGCTATCATGTGCATAGTGCTGCCATGATAAAGTATAAAGCAACACTTCAAAATCCATGTACAGCTTGTTTTCTCTCTCAATCTACAACTATACTTTGGACACATGAGTTCTGTGAAATGAAAACAAAGAAAAAGGCACAGCATTTTCTGCCGACAGTGTATTTTTAGCATGTGATCGCACATCTTTTAAACGTTATACTTTTTTTTAAGTTGATGTCAAAGGGGTCCATGACCTTGATTGCAATGTTGTACTGTATTGATGAGATTTCCAAACTATAAACATTTTCCTACATCAGAAAAATTATATTTGCCTTTTACTTCCATACAGTGAATACATCCTATGTATTTCACCTGATACATGTGGTGGTATGTGTAAAAACTTCATTTTTTTTAAAAATGCCAATTTTTGTGTTCCCCGCCCCCCAAAAAGCATAAAATAAGCTTAATGAAGAAGTATCACTACAATGTAAAACAACCTTGTTAAATCCCCCTGCAGACCCAGTGCACATCACACTTGGTTCCTTTCAAACCTGTTCTGTGGCTGCTAAGCATTGTGGCCGGATAGCTAGCTCCCATCACTATCCAACCACGCTGATGGAAAGAGACAGATTTTTGACAAACAGCAGGGGCTGTTAGAGAGGAGTGCCATCATTGAGCACAGCTCCAATTAGGTGTTTGTAATCCACGTGGTGAAAATGGCAACTCCGCAGGATATGACAGCAGAGGTGGTTGACATTGTAGTAGTTAGCATGAACATAAGGAAATTAATGGAGCGGGAGGATTGCCCCAAAGGAACACTCACTGCTAATGTGAGCAAGCCTCTCTAGTAAACCCAATGCAGTCCCAATTATGGAGGATTTGTCAGCGCTGGATTGGCTGTGTGATCTATTTGCCAACTGTGTGAATTATCGGTCACCCCCTGGCCCTCCATTCTCACCTTGTTGAGAACTGCATCTCTTCCCTACTGAATTCTCCTGGGATATGCATGTCCCATATCCTAGTAGGCATCAGCTCCCATTCTGTTGATGGATGAAGGCGGACCTAGCACACGTCATCACAGGGCTGACCTGCCTGACCTCAAAAGAGTCGGACATAAAGAATTCAACCAGGAGATCAAATAAAGATGTGTAATCAACTCCTTATAAGAACTACACTACAGCTGCTTAGATAATTATGGGTATATGGTTACTCTCTAACACCCCTTGAGATAAATATATTGGAAATGTGTAAAGATTTTATGACAATGAGCTTCTGATACCATATGTCAAATGTTATGCTGCACCTTGTGTAAAATCCCATATTTGGCAATTTGTTCTGATAAGTTATGCTGTTAAAGTGTTTCTAATGTCTGTAAATACTGCTGATCAATTGTGTATGTGCTTCCTACCCGGTATAAATACCTCTCTTGTAGAACATGCGTGGGGGCACTCCTTGGAGAGTGTCCCACACAATTGTGTTAATGAACATCCTTTTTATCCCACCATAAGAATATTGACTGAATTCCACAACCAGCCAGCTCCTAGTGATGTAAGGCAGAAAGATTGTGGCGTGTGACAGTGGAGCAGCGAATCAATAGTGAACAGCACTGGATTTGTTGTGCATGTATATTAAATATTCCAGCTAAACTAGTGAAAAAAGTAAGGGGGCATTAAACATTTAAATAAAAAGCAAACACTGGGGGAGTGAACTTACCTTGGACACTTTACTTAGACACTTGGGTGATGATTTAGATGCCATTGACATTTTGCTTCTTGAGGGAAGCATCTCCCTAGATATAAACATTAGCATAAGGATTTGTACAGTTCCTCTGCAGCTGAAATATTTGTATGTGTACAGCTTTAGAGCAGATATATGGTACTACAGGGTCCTATCTTGTATCCATTGAGGTTTTTTTCCATCTTTAAGTGGAAGGGAGAATAAATGTTACACAGAACATAGTTCTCTTAATCCTGGATAGCTATAATTTCTTAAATGCTACAATGTTTTCAGTATTTCAACTGGCTGACTTTGTCTGTTTCAGAACACAACTTGGGCTGAAAATAATGAGAAAAGGCCACAAAGAACAAAGAGCTGGCGACTTCCCCTGGGTAAACCTCCTTCTAGATCTCCTATGACAGTAGTTAAACATCAAGCAAGTGATGAAGGTATGCTGTTTTATAGTTTTTCCTGTACAAGAGTGTGATGAATATAATATTTTCCTTTTTTGTTTTATTCTGCATTTCTCATTTGTGCTGCATATGACACTTCCAATCAGTTGATTGCAATTAATGGTGCTGCAGCGTAGAGTCCTGTTTGCAATCTTCTCTTGTCACCTTTTCCAAAAAAGAAAATGAGATAGAACAATATTATTAATTCTTGGGTAACAATTGTATAATCTCACTGTTTTTAGCTGGATCTGTTTAAAGAGAGAGTACATTTTTTTTTTTTTACAGATTTGCGCACCCGAGTTTGCCATACACAATACAGTACATATCATTTTATGTTTACCATAGAGATAAGGTCAAAATATAGGGGAATGGCCAAATATGCAATAGGGACTCTCCATTTGTTAAGAGTTAATTAGATGAGCACATCTTTAGCAAACTACATACTTTATGCTCTTAGTACACATGCTGTCTCTCCGCTTGTGAGCCAGCATTTTGGAACAAAAAAGTGTTGTGTTTAATGCATTTATAAATGCTAGGGATGCACCGATACTGGTATTTGTACTCGCCCAAATGCTCCCAATACGTATCCCGATACCGGAACTTCTGGTATCGGGAAACCAGGAGGCGAGTCATTACACGCCGCCCGGCTTCCTGATTGGCTGAGAAGGCTCCATGCTCCTGGCTCCATGCGCCCTCGTCACCAGGGAGCATGGAGTTGGCTTCTCAGCCAATTAGGAAGCCGGGGGGTGGGTCATGACTCACCCACCTGCTTCCCTATTGGCCCGGGATGCCGTCCAAGTGACATGGGAGCATGGAGCCGGCTTTCCGGTCAATCAGGAAGCCGGGCGACAAGTCATGACTCGCTGCCCGGTTTCCTGATTGGCCTGGAGCTGGCCACTCAAGAAGGGGTCGACGATGGAGCCGGCTAAACAGGAAGCCGTGTGGTGAGTTATTACATACCGCCCGACTTCTGTAATGGGACTGCCGGTATCGGTATTTGGTATCGGCGGGTACCTGGAAAAAAAAAATCAGTACTCGTACTCAATGCTGAAAAAACGGTATTGCTGCATCCCTAATGCCTTTAAATTATGAGCCTCCCTTATTTGATGCTCTTATGCACACTTAGAACCTGAAAAATTGTGTGTGAGTTCAGGAGTAACTTTCAGAATTTGCAAATAAGATTGGCTCTCTTTAAAATCTCTGTTATCATGCTTTTTTTGTGTGTGTTCTGCCCACAGGATATATCCTGTTGATCATGTCACAAAATGTCACAACTGACACGTGTCACTTAAATTATGAATTACTTTAGTAAAGACCATGAATATTATGGATTATTTGCTGCTTTGTGAGGTTTAGTGATTGAGCTACATTTTGTTCTACCACTTCAAGATTCATTTTGTTAGATTAATGCTTTAACAATTAGTCAGCCTTCTAAGCTGTACTTACAATAGTTGTTGTTTGATCGGACACTTGTTTTACCAGACCTAAGATAATTAGAAATTTTAGTATAAATGGCAAATGTCCAGACTATGCAGAGGACCATATCAATGGTTTCAAAGTAACGGAGTACGCACACACACAACTAAATTTACTTATCTACCTGTTTAATATGTGAATGATAAGGAGTCGCTCTTACTTTTTAAATTGCATTTCAAGTTTTGGATTAAGTAGGTAAGGATTAGAACTGTCATGTTTATACTTCTATCTGGTGCTTCCTTAGAGAGGTTTACCTGCACTTTCAGCCCTGCTTCATATGTTTCACCGGACAAGAAATTAGGGAAATTCAGCAACAGAGACATATACAGAAGCAAATATGTGACAAGGGTTCTAACCTTCTCCTTCACTACTGAAGAAAAGCATTTTTATTTCTGTCTGTGTTGCTGTTGGAGAGTTTCCTCACTTTTCTCTCTGGCAAATCATTGTCAGTAGGAAAATAAATGAGGGAAAATAGAATAAGATATTCTTAACAAGTCATTGGTGACCTCTCTAGCTGCAGGCAATGTTTGGATGCTCATCCTTAAAGTTTAGCAGCCTTTTTATCTCTAATGTAAACACAGAGCAGGTGGTAGGGGGAGCAGAGCTGGCCATACACTGTATGAAATTTGTTCAGTTGGTGACTCTGTTGGCACCCTTACATATAACATCCTTTGAACAGAAAATTGAAGCAGCCAGTCGGAAAATGTTGGAGTGAACGGTGACTGCAAACAAATAAGCTGCCATCACTGCTTGGGTATTTTAACAGCAGCACACCTGCTGTTGTTAGAATACAACAGACCAGTGGGCGATTCTTCTATCTATGCTCTTTAGTGTGGTTGGAGAAATCGGTTATATTTTTTTGAAGCCCTCACTAATGGATCAGGGTTTTATAGGTATGAAGGAGCATATGGCTTCCCCCAGTGCATAGGGATTTGTGTGTCATGTAGAGAAAGCTGATATAATAGAGAACCCTATTGTGAGATCCTCTTTACTGACTGATGTACAACTGGTACATATTTAATATCATGCAAGGGACCGCTGAAATGTTTAGCAAGGTATTTCATGCCAAATGAATATTGGTGCCTCTAATATGATCATCCTAAACACATTTGTAGAATATAATCCTCTAGCACAAGAGAAGCACTAGGAAGGGAAAAAGGGCATGTAATTTGATTATCCTTGGCTCAAGCTTCAGTTCTGTTTATCACCAAATTTGTAATTAATTTACTCAGTGTGAATCTTGGTCTGCTCATCCGTCACATACCTAATACCTGCATTTTAGGATGTAATTTATGTGTAGAAGGCCAACATTTATAATCTCAGCCCAGTAGTTCTGCCTCACATAGCTCAGTGTGTTCTTAAGCATCTCTTACAGAAAGGAGGAGCAGCCTGTGATCCATATCAGTATAATCTTTTCATGCCTTAAGGGGCTGCAAGGAAAGTGGGTTTCCTTCTGATTGCAATATACAAATAAAATGGCTTGATTAATATCACAGCTAAGTTGCCTTTGGAATTAAAATTTAAATATGCAGGCGGCTGGAGCAAAATGACTAGTTTACGGTGGTCTAAAATGCACTGGTGTTTTGCACAATACTCTTTAATCTTTTGGATTCAAAAAGCAACATGATACACTTCTAATTGAAGTGGGACAATACTAGAGGGAAAATATTCATGAATAAAGCAAAATAATTATGTTAAAATGTTACTTTATTCAGTATGAGAACAGTCTTCACAGTATTTCTAGTGAGGTTTTTTTCTTAACTTTTCTTTCTTTGATAAGGTAAAGAGCAGTATTTAGTGTGCAGTATTCCATGAAAACCAATATGCAAAAGCTATGCATTGTTCTGATGCTGTATACCAATGAAAGGTGAAAACAGAACAGGGGTCAATGCACTTTGTGCTCAATAACACTATGTTCTGCCTTTTTAAAGCCGACTTCCTGGATAACCACTAAATACAGAAATGAAATGCATTAATGTGAATTGTTTGATCTGCCAAATGATTCGTAATTCTGTTTTGTGATTCAGACACAACTACCAGACGGTGTGGCCAAATCCTCAAACTCTGTCAGCAGTAGCATCCCCTGATCAGCCTGCTGTTCTTTGTCTCTGTCTGGGAGATTTCCCCTCAATGTGTTGTCACCTGAACAGGAAGTGAGGGAAGACTGTGCGCAGGGAAAAAACAACAGCGGTAAAAACCTGTTTAACCCTTCCTCACTCTTCAGGACTATTTCAGATCCTGAATTGATTTATGAGAGCTCAACACTGCTACATAATACATTAAAATGCATTATATAATACAACATTCCTGATAAGGATCTCAGGATCACTTGCTGCATATGCCATTTCATGAACATCATCTCTTTGGTGCTTTTCTAGGCAACTTTATTAAAGATGTAATTGGCAGAATAAGTACTCTTTTGTAATAGCAAAAGAATGCAAAGCTTCAATCAGGCAAAACTCGATCCCCCTCTGACACCAAGAAGAGTCACAGTTCCTGGACTCCCAAATCTCCTACACCTGCAGACAAGTCCTCTTCACAATGAAAGGATGCCCCCACTTTCCAAAGTGGGGAGATGTCTGTTGGCCTTTGCAGATACTGAGACTGACAACATCTTGGATGCATGGGTAAAATACATAGGGGGGAATGTATCAAATCTGGAGCAGTTGTGCATGGCAACCAATCAGCTACTCTCTTTAATTTTCAAATCTTAACTGAACAAACTGAAGAGAGGACAACTGCTCCAGGTTTGTTAAATCCCCCCCATAGTGTCCAGGGGCTAGAAGCTGAAGCTTCAATCTCCGCCTCTGTCCCGCTTCATATTCTCCAATCTACCTGTGTCTCCTCACAGACTAATGGACCTCCATGCTGCAAAATGGGGCATTAGCCCCATCCTGGATCTTAAGGCTTCACTTCAGGTTAAAAAAAAAAAAGTATAGAATCCACATAGTTTGTCAAATCCTCCCTTTTATCAGACAGACTTTTTAGCCTCTGTGGACATTAAGGATGTGTACTTGCATGTCCCCATATTTCCAGCACATCAGCACTGCCTGCTCTGGGCACACCGGACCAACAGTTTGTAGCCCTTTCATTTGGTCTGTCTTTTGTCCCTGAGATCTCAGGGCATTCTCATAGTAGATAACCTCCTATTGAGAGTACAATTAGCACAGACTCTGTCAGTCAATGTCTGTCAGACTGGTGAGACTCTACAAAGGTTTGGTTAGATCCCAAACCTTCAGAAGTTAGCACTAGAACCAGCTGATGGCTTGGAGTATTTGGGTCTCATTCTGCGCAGTCAAGAATTTTTCTTCTGCAAGACAGACTCCTGACTTTCCACTCTCAGATTCAGATTCTACAGTCCAGGAGCCATCCAACTCCTCTTTTGCATGAGAGTTCTGGGCTTAATGGTAGCCCCAAGGCAGTCCCATTTGCCCAGTTCTACTCCAGACCATTGCAACTCAACATTCTGTGTGGGACAAGAAGGTTCTGCCTGTCGACCAACGAATGCCAAGACCAAGTTC